TTGGTCAGATATAGAGTTTAAGGGAACCCCCCCCCCCATTCTCGATTTTAATTTTTCAAGATTTTCAATGGGCTGGTAAATCAATACCAATGCTTGTTAAGGTTTGTAACTTTGCACATATATAATTGAAGATTTAAAATAGAAGAAAAATAATTTACAAAAAAAATTGTTGTTGTTTTGTTGTTGTTTTTTGTAATTAAAGAAAAGTCCTTATTTTTGATGGCGGGCACGATAACTCCTCACTGGAACTTCGGAATCCGAATATTCCAACGGGGTTAGAAAGAGTACATGTCTGGCTCTCGTATGAACTAGGATTATTGACTTCGCTCTAAAATTAACAGAATGGCGGACACTTGAAAAAATATTTTTGAAAAATCCCCGAATTTTGACCAAAAACCAAGTTAAAAAATAAGGAAGATCTTCACCGATTGGCTTTATCCTAGTTCATACGATAGCTATACACTCACAGAGAAACGTGTAAAAATTTGAAATCGATTGGGTTATTAGTTTTTGAGTTATCGTGCCCGCCATTCGCAAAAAAATGTTTAGAGAAAAACGCGTTTAAAGTTTGAGAAGCACTTCAGCCGTCACTTGATGCTGACACAATAAATCGGCTATATCTTCAAGAGTTGTTGAGATTTTCATTTCAAATGTTGTAGGGACATTCTTAAATTAGTGTAGATTCGAATTATATCAACAAAATTTTTGACCCCGAGAATGGGGGGTCCCCTTAAATAAATTTATTTATATGTAAATAAATTTAAACTAGAATATCGAAATCTAAACCGATTTCATCGAAAGTTGTCACATGCTAGGTTACAATTATTTCAGAAATGTTTTGTGCATTCGTCCATATTTTGTGTTCTCCATTTAATTATAAATCCAAATTTTTGTGCAAATCGAAGGATATATAGGGACTTTGGTGCACTATTTACCAAAAATCGGACGAAAATATATATGGGAGCTATATCTAAATCTGAACCGATTTTCATGAAACTTAGCACACGTCATTCTAGACTTAATTCAGTACGCTATAACAAATTTCGTGCAAATCGAAGGATATATAGGGACTTTGGTGCACCATTTACCTAAAATCGAATGAAAATATATATGGGAGCTATATCTAAATCTGAACCGATTTTTACGAAATTTAACACACATCGTTCTAGACTTATTTCAGTACGCTGTGCCAAATTTCGTGCACGTCGAAGGATATAAAGGGGCTTTGGTGCACCATTTACATAAAATCGGACGAAAATATATATGGGAGATATATCTAAATCTGAACCGATTTTCACGAAATTTAACACACATCGTTATAGACTTATTTAAGTACGCTGTGCGAAATTTCGTGCAAATCGAAGGATGTATAGTGACTTTGATGCACTTTTTACCTAAAATCGGACGAAAATATATATGGGAGCTATATCTAAGTCTGAACCGATTTTCACAAAATGTAACCCACATCATTCTAGACTGCAAATCGAAAGATATATAGGGACTTTGGTGCACCTTTTACCTAAAATCGGATGAAAATATATATAGGAGTTATATCTAAATCTGAACCGATTTTTTTCATTTTCAATAGGATTCGTCCTTGGCCCAAATCGGTGGCCTATGCCAAATTTCATCCAAATTGGATCATAAATGCGACCTGTACTTTGCTCACAATTTCACATGGACAGACAGACGGACAGACGGACCACTTAAAAAGTGATTCTATGTATATTCTCAAAAGGAACCTTGGGTCTATCTCGTTTCCTTTTGCCTGTTACAAACATATGCACAAAGACATAATATCCTGTACCACAGTGTGGTGAAGGGTATAAAAAGGAAACTCGTTTAGGGTATATGGGGCGTATGATTTAAAAAAATTGTATTCGATTGTAAAAAAATATGAAGTATACGACCTCATGAGACCTGTAATGACTATTTTGACCCATAATGCGTATGGGTATTATTGTTATTATTTCAAATAAATAATATTAAGTATACGCCTTTGCTAATAAACATTGGAAGAAGATTCTTTTTTGGGGAATACGTCCCCTATTGACGATTATTAATATTTTGTTTTCTTTAAGAGACCTGCAATGATTATTGTTACCCATAACGCGTATGAGTATTATTAATATTTCAAATAAATAATATTAAGTATACGCCTATGCTAGTTATCAATAAATTGAAGATCCTTTAATTGGGAATATGGACGTATGCTATTGATATTTTCTAATTTAAATATATAATATTAAGTATACGTCTTTATGAGGCTAGAAATTAATGTAGTGGCCCATGATGCGTATGAGACAATATTATTATTTCAAATAATTCATATAAAGTATACGTCTATGGTTTTAAAAAAATTAAAAATTCTTTTTAGGGAATATGGGACGTTTGATGGGGCGTATGATTAAAAAAATTGTATTCAATTGTAAAAATAAATATGAAGTATACGTCCTCATGAGACCTGAAATGACTATTGTGACCCATAATGCGTATGAATACTATTATTATTTCAAATAAATAATATTAAGCATACGCCTTTGCCAATAAACATGGAATGAAGATGCTTTTTTTGGGAATACGTCCCCTATTGATGATTATTAACATTTTTTTTCTTTATGAGACCTGCAATGATTATTGTGACCCATAATGCGTATGAGTATTATTATTATTTCAAATAAATAATATTAAGTATACGACTTTGCTAATTAAGCAATAAATTGAAGATCCTTTAATTGGGAATATGGATTGATATGCTATAGATATTTTCTAATTTAAATATATAATATTAAGTATACGGCTTCATGAGGCTAGAAATGCATATAGTTGCCCATGTTGCGTATGATACAATACTATTTTTTCAAATAATTAATATTAGGTATGCGTCTATGGTTTAAAAAAAAAATTAAAAATTCTTTTTGGGGAATATGTGGCGTATGATAATTATTTTTTTAATTAAGAATATATACTATTATGTATACGTCTTCAAGAGGTCAGTAAATGATATGTGGGTTATGGTGCGTATGATTATTATTATTTCAAATAATTAATATTAAATATACACCTTTGCCAATTAATATTTATATCTTATAATTCAAAAAAATAAATACAAAGTACACGCCTTTATGAGACTTGAAATTTATTTTGTGGCCCATGATGCGTATGAGACAATATTATTATTTCAAAAAATTAATATTAAGTATACGCCTTTACCAATAAAAAAATCAAAATAATACAAGTCTCATAAAGGCGTATACTTAATATTTAGATTTTATAATTAAAAAATAAATATTAAGTATACGCCTTTATGAGACTTGAAATTTTGTTGATGACCCATTATGCGTATGAGTATTATTATCATTTGAAATAATTAATATTAAGTATACGCCTTGCTAACAACATTAATCATACGTCGATTATTATTATTATTTTTTTAATTTTGAACGACTTTCTCTGCACATTTTTCTGAATAAATTTTAAATGACTGATAATTTTTTATTCTATGAAACATTTAACGAAACTTCTTGAACTTTCTGTTAAATATATTTATATATTATAGAGAGAAAAATTATATGTTTTGTGTTTTGTTTTTTGTGATTTTTTTTTTTTTTTTTGTGTAATAATTTTTATTTTTTAATAAAATTTGGCATTATGTTTTGTTTTTGTATTTTTTTTTATTTTACAGAATACATATGTTTTTTGTTTGTTTTTACATTTAAACTATATTATTTTTTTGGACTTAATTGTATTTGTTTTTGTTCTTGTTGTTGTTAAAATTTTGTTTAAACATATATTAATATTTTTGTTTTTTGTAATTAATTTAATTAAATAGACACAAAAATTATTTAAAGAAAGTAAAACAGAAAAAAATATTCAACAAAAAATTCTGAGCTGAGATTTTTTGTTTGGTGTATTTTTTCTTTTCTTGGCATTTCCTAAGTTTTGAGCTTCACTAACTAATGTATTATGTTCCTCTTAAAAGAATATTTTGTATATTTGTTTTTCTATTTAAGCTCTTGCTGTAAGAGAGAAATGGGAGAGAGAGAGGAAGCCAAGTTTAAAAAAATTAGAGAACATCTTTTTTTTTAATTGAAAAAATGCAGAAGTGTTTGTTTCGGTTTGTTTTTCTCTGTGGTCAGCATGGGGAGTTCAGGGAGTTTGCTGGATAAGGGGGAGGAGTGAAGAAAAGTAGACACAAACCATGGAAAAACAAAAAAGAAAAAAAATATTGGAAAAATATTTTAAAGGGAGTTTGAAAACTAAAATTTTTTAAAGCCTCATTGAAAAATCTGAAAAATAAGAAATTTCAATTTTTTCAATTATTTTTGGCCAAGATTTCTCTTTGAGAGAGACAGAGAGAGAGCTGAGTGGTAGCAAAAATCCCCAAATTTATTTAAAGCCCCTTTTTTTGTTGCAGATCTTGTTAACAAAAAAATAAATAAATGGAATTTTTGCAAACACTCAAAACTTCCATCTCTTTAAAATTTTCTACAAATTTCCAATTTATTTTTAATTTTCAAAAAATTTCCCCTTCAATTTCTGCTTTTCTTCCCCTTTTTGTTTTTCCATGTCGAAAAAAAAGGATATTGTTGTTGTTTGTTTTTTTGTTGGTGTTTGTTAAATATACACATTTCGTATATATTTCGGTTTTTATTTTTTGTTTGAATTTGAAAAAATTCTTTTTATTTTTTTTTTGTGAAATTTTCTTTCATTTTTTTTATAAATTAGAGGATAACGCTACAAAAAAATTAGATATATTTATGTGATGATGTCGTTATTCTATCCGATACTTCTACTACTCGTTTCAAATTACATCGATTTAGATTAATGATAATTTTCGTTGTTGTTGTTGTTGTTATTGTTTATATCTGTGTATATATTTATATATTACATTGTATTTTGTAGTTGTTGTTGTTGTTGTTGATGGTATATTTATATTTTGATTTGGTATGGGTAGTTTAGTTTGGTTTGTGGTTTTGTTCCTATTTACAATTCCTTACCCTTGTTGAGTTCTTGGAGCAATTTATCCTCTGGCTCATATTCCAAGGGCACCAAAGCATTGGGTGTGTAGGGCTTGTCCTTCAGATACAAACCATAACGGGATGGGTATCTAGAGAGAGAGGGGGAAAGGGGAAAAATTATTTTTAAAAAATTTGTGCATAGAAAAAAATCAAAAACATGTTAAAAAATCGCCCAGTTCCGATGGTCCATAATTCCACCATGGAATAAAGATGCTTTCTGGGAATATGGGACGTATGATTATTAATATTTTTTGTTTAAAAATTTAATATTATGCATACGTCTTCATGAGGACTGCAATGAATATTATGACCCATAATACGTATGAGTACTATTATTATTTTAAGTAAATAATATTAAGTATACTCTTTTGTTAATAAAAAAAGTAAATGAGGATCCTTTAATTGGGAATATGGACGTATGCTATTTTCTAATTTAAATATATAATATTAAGTATACGACTTCAAGAGGTTAGAAATTAATATTGTGGCCCATGATATGTATGATACAATATTATTATATCAAATAATTAATATTTTTATAACCCCCACCATCAGGAGAACATTTAAAAATAGGGATATAGGATCAGTGATAATGGTTGAAAATCCCGAAAAGTCAGGCGTATGATTATTATTTTTTTAAATTAAAAATATATATATATATTAAGTATTCGTCCTCATGAGACCTGAAATGATTATTGTGACCCATAATGCGTATGAGTATTATTTTTATTTCAAATAAATAATATTAAGCATACGCCTAAGCTAATAAACATGTAATTGAATATCCTTTTTGTGGAAGATGGGACGTATGATTATAATTTTTTATTTAAAAATATAATATTAAGTATACGTCTTAATGAGACCTAAGTACATATTATGACCCATAATGCGTAAGAGTACTATTATTATTTCAAATAAATAATATTAAGCATACGCCTTTACTTATAAACATGGAATAGAAGATCTGATTTTTGGGAATAGGGGACGTATGATTATTAATATTTTTTAAATATATAATATTAAGTATACGTCTCCATGAGACCTGACATGAATATGGTGACCCATACTGCGTATGATTATTATTATTTCCAAAAAATAGTGTTAAGTATACGCTTTTGTTAATTAAACAAAAAACTGAAGATCATTTGATTTGGAATATGCAACATATGATATTAATATTTTCAAATTTAAATATAAAATAATAAGTATACGTCTTCATGAGACCAGAAATTAATATTGTGGCCCATAATGCGTATGAGACAATATTATTATTATTTCAGATAATTAATATTCGGTATACGTCTTTGGTAATAAAAAAATATACTAAAAATTATTTTTTGGGAATATGGGACGTATGATAATTATTATTTTTATTAAATACATAATATTAAGTATACGTATTCATAAGGTCGGTAGGTGATATGTGGACCACAATGCGTATGAGTATTATGATTTGTTTGAATTTTTTTATAGTAAGTATACGCTTTCGCAATTAATAATATCAATTCATGGGATTTCCCAAATTTCCCATATGGTGTATATGGGGGCGGGTGATTTTTTTTATTTATTTAAACATTTTAATATCAAGCATACGCCTTTATGAGATTTGAAATTAACAAACAATCAAAATGCCTAAAATAGATCTGATTGATTTGTTTTAGAAGGCGAAATAACACAAAAGGGTAAAAAAGCCCAATCTTGACAATAATTCTGAAATTTGGTAGGTACCGTAATATGGGATCTAAATTTTGAAATTTTGAATTGAAATTTGGACCAATATTTTTAATATTTGGTGTGAAGATTACAGCCAAATTACAGCCATTTCGGTTGAAAAACGTGCTGAAGAACCCCTAACCTTAAAATTGCACCAATATTGATTATTTTTGGTAGGGCGATTTTCTATCCAATGAGAACTCATAATATCAAATTGCAGTCAATTTAGATGAAAACCTGGCTCAAGCACACTGAAATTAGGGAGGGATAATTTTTGGTGTGGAGATTTTATACCTAAATGAAAACTCATAATATCAAATTAGAGGCTATTCGGTTAAAAACTGTGCTCAAGCCCCCCCAAAATACTTAAAATTGAGAGGTATCGTTATATGGGGGCTGCCCTAAAAAGCGGAGCAATACTGATCATTTTTGGTAGGAACATTTTCTACCCAATGATAACCCAAAATAGGATATTACAGCCCATTTGGTTGGAAATCGGTCTCAAGCAACCCAAACCGCTGAAATTAAGGAGGTAACATTACATGGGGTCTAGTCTTAAAAATTGGGACAATTTAATAGTTTTTGGTAGGAAGATTTGCTATCCAATGGGAACCCAAAATATCAAATTCTAGCCAATTTGGCTGGTACCTTTATATAGAACCTACCCTAAAATTTGAACCAAAGTTAATAATTTTTGGCACGGAGATTTTCTACCAAATGCAAAACCCAAAATACCAAATTCCAGCCAATTTGGTTGAAAAACGTGCTCAAGCACCCCCAAAATACTGAATATTGGGAGGTAGCGGTATATGGGTCCTAAGCCGAAACTTGAGTCAATATTGAAAAATTTTCAAGAGAAAGATTGCAGTCTAATGAGAACCTAAAATATGAAATTACAGCCAAGTTGGTTGAAATTTGTGCACAAAATCATCAAAATACCGATAATTGGGAGGTATTGTAATAAGGGGTATATACCAAAACGTCATTATTCTCAATACCAAACATCCTTGGACTGTAGGCATTGTGTGTGCAAAATTTCAAAGCTCTATCATAAATATTGGGAGCTCTATGGCGATTTCAATCTTATAAAATATTGCGTATGAGTGTTGACATACATCATACGCCCTTAGGGTACAATCATATTTCTGATTTATTTTCGATAGTAGACAGATTATAGAATTATTAAATATTGATTTGAGGGCCGCAAACATTCTAAAAGTAGTAGCTATCTTTGTTTCAAATTTCAATGTTCTATCTTAAGTTTTAAGAGCTCTATGGCGATTTCTACTTAACAACATTTTGCGTATGAGTGTTGACATAACTTATACGCCCTTAGGGTACAATAATATTTTTTTTTATTTCTTAGATTATTGTCGAACTTCGATGTGTATTACTTTATTCTAAAATAAATGGAGTAAATTTAGAAGTATGCTTCTATTAGAATAATTTTGAAAAAATAGGTTATTCCAGACAAAATTTACAAAAGTTAGAAGTGTTCTGGAATAATTAAAATATTTTGTCTGATGATCACAAACAATCTAGGAGTGGTAGCAATCTATGTTCGAAATTTCAAAGATCTATCTTAAATATTGTGTGCTCTATGGTGACTTCAATCTAACAAAATTGTGCGTATGCGTGTTGACATAAATCATACGCCCCTAGCGGTTCGATAATATATCTGATTCTTTAAATTTTTGTCGATTTTCGATATGAATTCCATTATTTTAAAATAAATGAAATAAATTCATATGTATGTTCATAAAAGTCTTTAAAAAAATGGGGAATTAAAGAACGAATTCAAACGAGTGTTAAATCTTGGTTTAAGGGCCAAAAATTATTCTAGGAGTCCCATAAAAAATTGTGGGTTATATAGGAAAAATTTCTAAAAATTACAAAACTAGAATTATTTTATCAATTAAGAACTATTTTTATCTGATGCTAAATATTTTTTCCCTTCTAAAATTCTATGAAATAAAAGAAGTACCCTATGGGGCATGAGTGTTGACATAACTCATACGCGATGTTAATGAATTGTACTCATACTGCGTATGATTTATTTTGGAATAAAAATCAATTTATATTGTGCAATAATTCGGACCCCAATATTAATAATAATTCCTACCACACCCTTCGACTTATGTTATTTTATAAAATTATAAAATTGATTGCTAACCTGCGTTCAATTTCTTGCATACGTTTCAAATGATCATTCCAGGCGCGTTCAGCATCATAGTTAGCTGGAACTGTAAAGTAAAAAAATAGACATCAATTATTAATAATTTGTTTCAAAAAAATCTTATTTTTTAATTTTAAAAATTTAAAACCAAAAGCAACTTACATTTAAAAGCATTAGAAATAATATTAAGCGTCTTCATATAGCTCTCAGGCGGTTTTAGGTTAAAGCATTTTTTTAATATTTACCCCAAAAAATTTTATTTATATTTAATTTAAGCAGCAGCAGCAGCAGAGTTGAAAAAATTTATTTTAGCAGGTTAACAAAAAATTGCGGGGAAAAGAAAATTGTAAAATAATTATTAAAAGTCACAAAGCAAGTAGGAAGTTAAAAAAGCAGCTGAATAAACATGAATGTGAAAAAGTCATGAAACGAACGAAACGAAAATGAAAAAAAATGCAAATGAGAAAAAAAAATAAATAACGAAAAAATCAAATGGACGATAAACGAATAATGGTAATGGAACAAATGAACGAAAGTAAAGGATAATCGGAATTTTTGTGAACTTCTTCATAAGTAAATATTTTATTTTATTTATCGGTGTGAGGTTCTTTGGTTAAATACTTTAAATAGGGAAGTCACATTAAAAAAAATATTTGGAAATAAAAAAAAGATAATAATGAAATGTATTTTAAAATTACCTATATATTAACTTAGTAGATCTTCAGAGTTTCCGTTATAATCAAAGGATCTAAATACCTATTGGAATAATGTCCTATTTGAAAGTGAAATATTTTATGTCCAAAATTTTCTACTCTAGCAAATTTGCATTCAAATTAAAATGTCGAGGCCAAAGGTATCTCAAAACGCCAAGAATCTACTACTTTGACTTCTTTATGTTCGATCAATAATCGATATTTTCACAAGTGAAAAATAAGGCTAAACTCTTATCTAAATAAACCTTCAGTGGTATACAGATTTAATATGGCCTGTCACCTTTTTTTAGTGTTATTTTTATCCGGTCGTATATTTTTGGTAAAAATCGACACACTGCCGAAACCATATATATATATATATATATATTAATATTTCCTATAATAATCGTAAAAATATAAAATTTTGAAAATTTGCAAGTTTTGAGTTGCAAAAAATTCAACTTTTTAAACAAAAATCTAACTGCAATGCAAAGAGCATACAATAGGGCGTATGAGTGTCAACACCACTTATTCGCCTTTACGTTTCCTAATCATACCCTTTCCTTCTATCCACTTATTTATATATATATATATATATATATCTAAATAAACCTACAGTGGTATACATATCTAATATGGCCTATCACATTTTTAGTGTTCTTTTATCGGGTCGTATATTTGATAAAAATCGACACACTGTCGAAACTATATATATATATTAATTTTTTCCGAGGATAATCATGAAAAATTAAAGTTTTGAACATGTGTAAGTTTTAGTTACCAAAAAATTTAATTTTTTAAATAAAACTCTAACTGCAATGCAAAAGATACCAAAGCGTATGAGTGTCGACACCACGTATACGCCACGCATACCATAGAGCGTATGAGTGTCGACACCACTTATACGCCTTAACGTTTCCTAACCATACCCTTTCCTTCTATCCACTTCTTTATGTTCGATCAGTAATCGATATTTTCAACAGTGAAAACTAACGCTAAGCTCCTATCTAAATAAACCTACAGTGGTATACATATCTAATATGGCCTATCACATTTTTAGTGTTCTTTTATCGGGTCGTATATTTGATAAAAATCGACACACTGTCGAAACTATATATATTAATTTTTTCCGAGGATAATCATGAAAAATTATAGTTTTGAAAACTTGCAAGTTTTTGTTTGTAGTTTAAAAAAAAAAACAATATTTTTAAACTAAAATCTAACTGAAATACAAAAGAGCATACCATAGGGCGCATGAGTGTCAACACCACTTATACGCCTTAACGTTTCCTAATCATACCCTTTCGTTCTATCTACTTCTTTATTTTCGATCAATAATCGATATTTTCAAAAGTGAAAAATAACGCTAAACTCCTATTTAAATAAACCTACAGTGTTATACAGATCTAATATGGCCTGTCACTTTTTTTGTGTTCTTTTATCGGGTCGTATATTTGGTAAAAATCGACACACACTGTCGAAACTATATTTATATATTAATTTTTTCTTTCTTGAGTTGCAAAAAATTCAACTTTTTAAACAAAAATCTAATTGCAATGCAAAGAGCATACAATAGGGCGTATGAGTGTCGACACCACTTATACGCCTTTACGTTTCCTAATCATACCCTTTCCTTCTATCCACTTCTTTATGTTCGATCAGTAATCGATATTTTCAACAGTGAAAACTAACGCTAAACTCCTATCTAAAAAAAACCTATAGTGGTATACAGATCTAATATGGCCTGTCACTTTTTTAGTGTTCTTTTTATCCGCTCGTATATTTGGTAAAAATCGACACACTGTCGAAACTATATATATATATTAATTTTTTCCGAGGATAATCATGAAAAATTAAAGTTTTGAAAATGTGTAAGTTTTAGTTACCAAAAAATTTAATTTTTTAAACAAAACTCTAACTGCAATGCAAAAGAGCGTACCATAGAGCGTATGAGTGTCGACACCACGTATACGCCACGCATACCATAGAGCGTATGAGTGTCGACACCACTTATACGCCTTTACGTTTCCTAATCATACGCTTTCCTTCTATCCACTTCTTTATGTTCGATCAATAATCGATATTTTCAAAAGTGAAAAATAACCCTAAACTCCTATCTAAATAATCCTAAATTGGTATACAGATCTAATATGGCCTGTCAGTTTTTTAGTGTTTGTTTTATCCGCTCGTATATTTGGTAAAAATCGACACACTGTCGAAACTATATATATATATATATATATTAATTTTTTCCGAAGATAATCGTAAAAATATAAAATTTTGAAAATTTGCAAGTTTTAGTTGCCAAAAAATTTAATTTTTTAAAAAAAACTCTAACTGCAATACCCAAGAACGTGCCATAGGGCGTATGAGTGTCGACACCACGTATACGCCTTAATGTTTCCTAATCATAGCCTTTCCTTCTAATTGAAACACATTATTTTTATTACTTCACATATCAATTTAAAAATTATTTTTTATTTAATTTTTTTATATATATAAAAATATATTTTTTTATTGGTTGATTTTATTGTCAGTTGATCTTCTGATTTACAAGGATTGGAGTCTTTTTTTGACTATTACTTTTTCTGGAAGTATTTTGTTTCATTGCTGAATGAGTCTACTCTTCCTCTATTTATGGTATTTATTTAATATTTTTCTATCAATTTTTTGTTTTTTAAATATTTTGTGTGATTTTGAAAAGAGAACAAAAAAAATGAAAAAAATAAAATACATTAGATTTTTCCATGTTTCTAATGAGAAATATGAAAAGGGAATAGGGTTCCACCAGTTCATGGCTTTTTATTTTCTCAAGGGGCCATTGAAAGCATTGGATTTTTACGGAAGGTATATTTAAATGTCCTTTTTTGAAAAGGATTTTTGTTAACTTATTAAATATTAATAATTGTATTTAATATGCTGTGTATTTTTCGGTGTCGATGTGAAACCTAATGCCTCATTTTTATTACTCTTTTAATGATATAATTTCTTTATTAATATAATTTGTGTTTATTTGTATTTGTCTGGTCTGGGCCCTGCTATATAACATTGAAACGACTATCAAAACCTTGGATGCTATTTTTATTATACTTATGTTCATACTGTTTATTTTGCAATAAAAAAAATCTGCAAAAATAAATATTTAAATGCGTATTTACACAGACAAAAACACACACACACACACATATGTGTGTGTATGTGTGAAAAATTAAATGTTAAATTTACTAGAAGAACCAGAGAACCTTGAAAAGCTCTATTTTTTCTCATCAATAAAAACACCCACACACAAAAATGTCTTTTGGGGAAAGGCAAGAGATAATCTCAAAAAGAACATTTGGATACATATGACAGCTAACGAAAAAATATATGTATGTACATATATATAAACAAAATTGCAAGAAATAAATATGTATGTATATATTTAAAATATTTTTAAATTTGAAAAAAAATATCTATACAGCTTTTTCAATTCAGATCTCTGATATTTTTTCGCACTCATGAACATTAAACGAAATTGTTTTTTTTTTTATTAAAATATGAGGAGAGAGAGACAGAGAACGTTATATGATCCTCAAAGCACATATTTGTATACATGTTGATATATATGTATATATGTGTGTATGGACAATGAGAAATAATGATAAAGACACACAACCACACATGTATATGTATATGGAAACAGAAAAAAAATCGCCAAATAAATAAACAAATATTCACAAGAATGAAATACAAATGAAATTTTAAACCAAATGGCCAGAGCTTTTTTTCTCTCTCATTTTTTTTTTTTTTTTTTTGATGTTTCATAATAAACAAATAAAATGAGAAATATTAAATAAAAATAAATTTATGAAAATATATATGAAAAATGTGTGAGTCTTTTGTTGTTGTTTTCGTTTTATGCGACATTGTGTAATTTATGTGCAGGTGGCACGATGATATTGAATAATAGGTATATGAATTATGCAAATAAAAAAAAAACATTGTCATTGATTTGAAAATATAGGCCTTCAATTAAAAAATATATAATTTCTATTTCCAAAAAGGCGTGAATTTAAAAAAAAAATATTTTTAAGAAAACCCAGAAATTTTTTATGAAAAACACCAATCCGTGATTTAAAAAAAAAAATATTTTTTATAGAAACACCAAGGCGTGAATATTTAATAAATATTTTTTCCACACACCAAACATGTCATGGAAAACATTTTTCCAGCATGGATTTAAAAAAATTTAAAAAAATATTTTTTTAGGAAAAAACACCAATTTTTTAAAAAATATTTTTTATAGAAACACCAAGGCGTGAATATTTAATAAATATTTTTTTTCAGACACCAAACATTTCATGGAAAAACATTGTTCCAGCATGGATTTAAAAAAATGCGAGGATTTAAAAAAACCAATGCCAGCACCCAGCAGAAGAAGTTTTGGGTTTTTAATAAATAAATTTTTTTAGCCCTAAAATTTTTAAGGTGTGGATATTTATACCTTACACAAATATGTTGTCAGGGTATTATAGCTTTGAGCAGCCCCAAGAGTTTTGTGACGCCGCGAAATATTGATCCTAGACCCACCTTTAAGTATACCGATCGTCATATCTCGATTAGCTGAGTCGATCTAGACATGTGTGTCCGTCCGTCTGTCCATTATAATTTGTAAACACGATACAGGCCTCAGTTATGGACCAACCTTCACGAAATTTTGCATGTAGGATGGGTTGTGACCAATGAAGACCCCTATTGTTTTTTGGTAAAGATCGGTTGGTATTTAAATGGATCAAATCCGCTCTAGAGGCCGCCAATTATGGCTCAAACATCGCGAATTTTTACAAGAAGAAGGGGATCGGGCCAAAGAATAAACATGCCAGATTTGATAAAGATCAGTCCATATTTAGCGGGTCAATTGGACCCTGACTTTTGTGTGAAAAATGGCAAAAATTTTATTCTTTTTTGTCAAATGGACCCTGACTTTTGTGTAAAAAATGGCAAAATTTGTATTCTTATTTTTGTCCGTTTTTTTGGTCACTCGCAGAGGCCACAGTTATGGCTCAAACATCGAGAATTTTTACAAGAAGAGGAGGATCGGGCCAAAGAATAAACATGAGAGTTTTAATGAAGATCAGCCCATATTTAGAGAGTCAAATGGACCCTGACTTTTGTGTGAAAAATGGCAAAATTTGTAGTATTTTTTGTCGGTTTTTTCTGGTCACTCGCAGAGGCCACAATTGTGGCTCGAACATCTCGAATTTTTATATGAAGAAGGGGATTGGGCCAAAGAATAAGCATGCCAGATTTGATAAAGATCAGTCAATATTTAGCGGGTCAAATGGACCCTAACATTTGTGTGAAATATTACAAAATTTGTATTCTATAGCGAATATATATACCCCAGAAGGACATGGACCCTAAAAGTTGATAGTTTATCCAAGAGAAGTTGTTGACCTTTAAATTGCTACCAATTATATTGTCGTATGTACTCGGATGTGGGAGTTACACTTAAATATTTACAGGTGCTTATGTATTCAGATATTATTTAGTAACCCTTCACCACACTAGAGGGCGGAAATATAGCACTGATAGCTCTGAAATTTTCCATGAGGATCCAGGTATGGTCAAGGATAATGCCTATAATTTTCGGTGATGATGAGATACTAATTTTGGGATGAAGTGGACCGAGAACTTATTTTTTGTTTTTTTTTTTTTTTTTTTTTGAGTCGATCTATGGGCCATAATTATTAGTCGAACATCACAACACATCCCACGGTGAAGGGAATATGGACAAGTAATTAGAAGGGCTGTACTCAACTCGGAAAATATGTCAGTGTAAGGAAGAGGTGCTCTGTACCTCTAATCGGGCAAGTCGATCTATAGGCCACAATTGAAAGCCGAACATCACAACACATCCCACGGTGAAGGGAATCTGGACAAGTAATTAGAAGGGCTGTACTGAATTTATTGGTTAACCTCTAGCCGGTCAAGCGGGTACAAATATTGCGAAATATTGCCCAAGCTTAGAATATAGAATCACAGAAGCTTAGAGTTCCGTGTTAGTTGTGTAGGGTATAATATGGTCGGCCCCGTCCGACTATACTGCTCCGCACACTGGTTTAAAAATTATGTTTTCAATCATTTTGAAGCCGTCGATTTTTTAAAAATTATTTTTTTGAGTAATTTTGAAATGTTTTTTTTTAGTCAAGCCTTGTTTGAATTTTTTAAAAAATATTTTTTCAATAGTCCCCATGAAGTCGATTTTTTTAAAATAGGTTTTTAATTTATTTTTTAGCCACCAAATAAGGCGTGGATTTTTTTTTTTAAAAAAGTATTTTTGAATTCATATTTCTCAGCCTTTGTTTTCAACTCAATGACATCTTGGATGTAAGTCGATGGTGTATGAGATCGTATTTAATTGAATGTGTTGGTTTAGTAGCTTTAAAGCAATTTGGATTGTTTTTTTTTTTTTTTTGTTTTTTGAAGGACCTTTTGTCCTTTTTTCTTAGCTTTGGAAAAATGTAGCAATTTTTTTTTTTGGAATGTTAGGGCCAGGAATATACAAAACAATTTTTTTTTTAACGAAAATATTCCAAAAAGAAATCCTCCAACTTACTTGTTCTGCTGTAGTGATGATCATAGATGGCACGGGGAGAGTAGCCGTAGGTATCTCTGCTGACGGGCAAATATCTGTAGCCATGAGACTGGACACGTTCGTTAGCAGTGCTAGGCTCATCAAAGATGCTCCTGTATGTGGAGGGAGAATCAATGTATGAGCTGTATGGACGACCGGCCCTGGGGGTCTCATGGGCACGGATATCCTCAGATCCTGGAAAAAAAAAACAACAAATAGAAATATATAATTAAAATAAATACAAAAATAATGAACTAAAATAAAAAATAAATAAATAAAAATAAAAAATCATAAAATAAAAAATAAATAATAATAGTCTTAAAAATTGAATTGAAAATTTATTTTATTTATAAAAAAAATATATTCTTCATTAAATATGTAAAAATAATAAATAGATGTTTTTTTTATAAAGACAACAAAGTGGGATTCAGCCTATTTTGCAAAAACAAAATAAAAAAATTATAAAATTTTACTTTTAAAAATTGAAATAATAATTTAATAAAAAAATATAAATTTATTTTTATTAATGAAGAAACAATATTTTTAAATAAATATTTAATATTTTTTTTAAAAAAAAATAAAATTTTTTTAATAAATATTTAAAAATTTTTTTAATAAAAATAAACTATTTATTGTTATGAAAAAACAACATAATTTAATCTTACAAAAACAATTTATAAAAAAATTCTATATTTTTATTTTATAAAAAAATTTTAAAAAATATATATTTTTTTTAAAAAAAATAATATATATTTTTTTATAAAAAAATTAAAAAAAATATAAATTAAAAAAAAAAATTGATAAAAAAATGCATTTCTTTTTAAATATTTTTTTCTATTTAGGTTACCCATGGCCCTGGATTTGTTTTTAGCAACCAAAATTTCAGGTTCCCCCTATTTTAGTTGACTTGTTCTTGTTTCATTTTTTTTTTTTTTTTTTTGTTCTGAAATTTCTTTATGCTCTATAAAAAAAACTCAGCATTTTTTTGTGTTGTGCTCTGTGCTACATAGCCGCTTGACTCTGTCATTTAAATTTAGTTGGGGTTTTTATCTCTAAAACATTGCACACACCCAGACAAGAGAAAAGACCCATTAAAAAAACAAACAATCACACAAGCACTAAACGTCACATTAGTTTATTTTTAAATATTAAATAAAAAATAAAAAGAAGCAGAATAAGTGTTCTCTAAGTGGCCTAAATAAGAAAAAAATAATAACAAAAATAAGGTAAGAAATTTTCTCATAATAAAAGTTTCTCTATGAAGATAAATAGTTCCCAAAAAAGAGGAAACACTTCAAATATCGGGTTCTCCCTTTGCGAAAGAAAATATTCCAAAATTTATTATTGACAAAAAATAAATGTACTAAAAACAGTATCATTTACGTCACACACATATCGTTTATGTGTTTGCAAGTTTTTTATTTTTTTATTTTGGAATACAAACAAAACAATGTTCCCAATTTTTTGGGTTGGTGATGCTTCTTCTTCTTTCTGCAAAATTTTGGCTTCTTGCCAAAAAAATTAAATATATTCATGCTAAGTTTTCCTCAGTGTGTGTTTTGGTGGTTTTGAAAATATATGGGATTTTGTGGAAGCAATTTTGAAAATATTTTCAACAAGCAACAACGAACAAATTTCAAATATATATGTTTTTCATAATGTGTATATATAGTACATGTATGAGAAAAAAATCGACATTTTGTTCATATCAAATACCTAACCTAAAAATTAAAATAGTATTAAAATATAGAATATTTTTTTTTTTAATTTTTAGGACACTAAAGTGAGGTATATGGAAGGCATAGATAAAAATCTGCAGGTTTCCACAACATGTGTATTTAAACCAAAAAATATATTTTTCAGGGACGTGGATTGAGCCAGGAATAGTTTTAAGAACCTATTAAAGAATTTTTTTAAGGTTGCCGGATTGAATTTTTAGATATTTTTTGTGTCGAGTGTTACATATAAAAAAATTTTTTTTCGGGTAGCCCTCTTATAAGGGTACCCCCAATTTTCGGTATTTTGGAGTTCTGCAAACGAATTCGCTGAAATTTGGTACTTTGAGTTCTTATTGCGTAGCAAATCTCTCCACTAAAAATTATAAATATAGGTCCATTTTTTCGGCTAGACCCCATATAAGGGTACCCTCCAATTTTCGGTATTTTGGGGTTCTTGAGCGTGGTTTTCAACCGAATTCGCTGTAATTTAGTATTTTGTAGGCGTATATGGTAACAAATCTCCCTACCAAAAATTATTAATAGTCGCCCTATTTTATGGGTAGTCACCATATTACTCCCTTTTTATATCCTCCACCATAGTATGGAGGGTATATTAGTATTGTTTTTCCGTTTGTAACGCATCGAAATAATCATTTCTGACCCTATAAGGTATATATATTCTTGATCAGCGTAAAATTCTATGACGATATAGCCATGTCCGTCTGTCTGTCTCTCCGTCCGTCTGTCTGTTGTAATCACTCTAGCGTCTGAACGAATTGAGATAGATCGACAAAATTTTGCATAGAGTCGTCTTTTGTCTGCAGACAGGTCAAGTTCGAAGAAGAGCTTCATCGGTCCACGTTTAGGCATAGCTCCCATATAAGGGTACCCGCCAATTTACGGTATTTTGGGAGGGTTTAAGCGCGTTTTCCAACCGAATTCGCTGAAATTTGGTACAATGGGTTCTTTTTGGATACCAAATGTCTCCACAAAAAATTATAAATATAGGTCCACTTTTTTCTGGTATCCCCATATCACGGTACCTCCTACCTCTCAGAATTTTGGTGGTTTTGATGGCATTTTTCCACCGAATTGGCTGAAATTTAGTATTTTGAATTCTTAATAGGTACCGAATCTCTCCACAAAAAATTATGAATATCGGTCCACTTTTTCTGATACCCCCCATATAAAGGTACCCCCCAATTTTCGGTATTTTGGGGTTCTTGATCGCGTTTTTCAATCGAATTCGCTGCAATTTGGTATTTTCATGTCGTATACGATAACAAATCTCCCTACCAAAAATAATTAATATTCACCCTCTTTTTGGGGTAGTCCCCATATAACCCCCCTTTTTATTTTAAAATATTTGTCTGATTTGTTCCGCGCTTTGGGTTTGGTTCTAAGACTCTGTTGTAGTCATTTCACCTGCGGAGGATATCGAGATAAATAACTAGAACGTAAGTTTCGATAATGAATTATGTATATGAACTATAGCCCGCATTTAGGCCTAGCCCCTGTGTGGGAGGTTTCAGAGGGAGTGGACCGATATTCCCCATCTTCGAACTTAAACTATGTTTGGAAGAAATGATAAGATGGGCAAAGTTTGAATGAAATCAATATTTTCTGAAACGGATATGGTCCAAAGAAACATGGGATCTAGAACCAATATTTCTATGGTGGAGGGTATCCAATAATTTCGTCCGATTTAAGGTAAACGGTGCACCAAAGTCCTTATATATCCTTCGATTTACACGAAATTTGGCATAACGCTCTCATATATATTCGTCCGATTTAAGGTAAAAGGTGCAGCAAAGTCTCTAAATATCCTTCGATTTGCACGAAATTAGGCATAACGTACTGAATTAAGTCTAGAACGATGTTTGGTAAATTTCGTGAAAATTGGTTCAGATTTAGATATAGCTCCCATATATATTTTCGTCCGATTTAAGGTAAATGATGCACGAAAGTCCCTAGCCACAGTTATGGACCAATATTTACGAAATTTTGCATTTAGGATGGGTTCTGGCCAACGAAGACCCCTATTATTTTTGATAAAGATCGGTTAATATGTAGGGGATGATATGGACCAAATACGACTTTTCTGGTCGGTCCAGAGGCCTCAATTATGGCCCAAAGATCGTGAATTCTTACATGAAGGGGGGATCGGGCCAAAGAATAAACATGCCAGATTTTATAAAGATCAGTCAATATTTAGCGGGTCAAATGGACCTTGAATTTTGTGTGAAAAATAGCAAAATTTGTATTCTATAGCAAATATATATATATATATATATATATATACCCCTGAAGGTCATAGACCCTAGAAGTTGATAGTATATCCAAGAGGAGAGCTTGACCTATAACGCCTATAATTATCGGTGATGATCAAATAATAGATTTTATAATTAGAAGGACTGTACTGAATATTAGTAATATTCGGAAAATATTTTAGTGTAAGGAAGAGAGATGTTGGCCTCTTATCGGGAAAGAGGGTACAACTATCACAAAATATTGTGTAGGGTATCGTATGGTCGGCTCCGCCCGACTATACTGCTTCGCTAACTGGTTTTAAATATCTAAAAGGTTATTTTAAAAATGTTTATCGAATATTTGCAACTCTAACATTTTTTTTAAAGTGTAGAAAATCGGAAATACTTTTCTATTTCTAGTCGGAAGTTTTCAAATTATATTTCTTTGTTTATTTTGATATTCTTCCCTCAACTTCTAAATGCAAAATAATAAAAATATTCTTGTTCAACTTACCCTTCAAGGATCTGATATAGGATTGCCAGAACTTAGCCTTCTTGCTGGGGCTCTCGTTGCGGCCAATCATTTCCAAATGGTTCTTGAACATTTTGGATCGGTTTTTGTGGTGGTGGTGGTGGTTAACAAGAAAATTGAAAGATGTTCGTTAATAAAAGGACTCGTTCGCTGCAAAAAAAAAGAACGGGGAAATTATTATTAATAAAAATAGAAATTTAAAATATAATAAAAAAAATTACAAAATATACAAAAGAAAAATATGAAACAAGAAGGCGGAATAATATTTTGTAAGGAGATAAAATTTTTTTATTAAAAAAAAATTATTTATTTTTATAATTTATTTGTTTTTTTTAATTTATAATTTTTTTTTCTTTTTATAATTTATTTCTTTTATATTTTATTTGTTTTTTTAATATTTTAAATTCATTATAATTGTTGCCGAGTAAAATATTCTATGACAGAAGAGACTCAAAAACATGCATATGATTTCAATATCTTCTACTACATATCAGCTGTTCGAATAATTACCAAAAAATTGGTGCATACTTTTAGGGTCGCTTATTTAATATGTGACTTCTATAATTGTAAATTCCATCAATGATGTGAGTGATGTGTTGGGAATTACAATTCCAAAAGTATATTTAATTTTTTTTCATAAATAAAAACTAATATTATAAGATCAATAAACCCTAAAATGGTTGTAATAATTTATAGTGCCTACTTTTAGGAACATAAAAGGGAAAAAAATCAATTTCGTTAATATTAGAAACCCTGATTGAGGAAAAAAACGAATACGAGGATTAAAATTTTTCGATTTCTTTCCAATGTTTTCGCTTTGATTTTCAAATAAAGAGTGGTGCATATTTTTAGTTACTTCATAAAGGAAGTATGACGTTTAATATTTCTTTGGAATATTTTTGGAAAATATAATTTGCAGAAGTAGAAGCTTAATATGTTTTTTTAAGTTCTAATATTGGTAGTAATTAAAAAAATCTTCGTAAAATATTTTATGGTGCATACTTTTAGGAACTTTAGTCCAAAAGTACTTAATTATGTATTTACAAATGTAAAAAAAATTAAAAAAATTATTGTGAAATGTTGTCACTGCGGATTTTTAGATTCTCGACAATTACTTTATTAACCCGAGCTGTGCTAGCGTGACCATATGGCCACACTCATAATAGATCAATAAATCATCTAAAAAACTGTACCGGAGCAGTGTTAGTGTGAACATACGGCCACAGCCCAAAAATTGATGCTATTGATTATCCTGATTTTTTGATGCTCGGCAATTACTTTATTAACCCGAGCTGTGCTAGTATGACCATATGACCACACTCATAATACGATCAATAAATCACCCAAAAAAAAAAAAAAACTGTACCCGAGCAGTGTTAGTGTGAACATACGGCCACAGCCCAAAAATTGATCCTGTCGATTATCCTGATAAGAAAAAAGTATCCAAATCAAATTTTTGAATTCAGCGAATTCATAATCTAGAGACGCTGAAAGTTTTGTCCCACAGCACTATTCGGGTTAAAGTTGTGGACTTGTAAGAACTAAAAAATAGCGTCTTCGGCAAATCTATTGATATATTGTACACAGTTTATTACGGCCCGGAATATTTTTATATTTTATATTGTGTACTTTTAGGAGCCTCAATTGGAAAAACTGAGTTTGAAATTCCCTCCTAAGCCCTCGACTCATTAAAAAAAAAATTATTTTTTTAATTTGTGTTTAAAAAATATTTTTAATTACGAATGCTTCCATTCTTTCGTTTTATGGTCCAGTCAGCTGATCATATCCAAATGTTTAAATCTATTGCATACTTTAAGGCAGATAATTAACGCTGAGATGATTTATACAATAAATCTAAATAATTTTGAATCGACTGTAAATAATTTGTTGAAATTTCAATAATCTAAAAAAAATATTTTTTTAATAGTTCTCAATTTTTTACTATTTTTTTTAAAAATTTTTTTAATTTTTTTTTAATATTTTTCGAAAAAATATTTTTATTTTCATTTTTTTTTAATTTTCACGTTTGGTATTTTGGTGAAAACACAAGTTAAATAATAAAAAATATATTTTTTTTTAATTCGAATCGTTTTCAAAATAGTCTAATATATATTTTTTGCAACCCAATTTACATTTTTAAATAATAATTATTTTTTATTTATTTAAGACCCCATAAAAATGGTAGTTTCTAATATTGTTTTATTTTATGATTTCAAAAATTAAATTCATTTTAAATTTCGATTTAAAATTTTTTCAATATTTTGTTTTTTTTTGCCAATCTAATCTTGGTTTTTTAATATTGTATAATTTAAGAAAAAACTTATTTTTTTTAGTTTTAATTTTCTTAAAATTCGGTCAAAGCACTTTCAATATTTTTTTGGCAGCCTAATCGATTTTAAAATTCGATTTTCAAATTTTTTTTCTTTCAAATTTTAAACATTACAAAGTCCATTAGAATTTTTGGTGGGCTGTTTTGCTGTTTAATTTGTTGCATTTGTCATTTCATTTCACTTCAAATGAAATGAAATTTTGAAAAAGAAGAAGAAAAACAAAAACGTAACGAAAAATCTAATTAGAAAATGTCAACACCATTCAATGAGTTTTCCAAGTTGCCTTGTAAAAATTTGCCTGAATGCAGCCGAGTGTTCCAATTTTCGAGGCGACGTTGCTGTTTTCGCAGTTTTTTTTTAAACACAAATTGAATATTGCACCACAAGATCATGTCAGCCAAAAAAATATACACAGAAAAAAACGCATTTGCAAAAAATGCAATGAGGAAGGGAAACGGAATTTCTGAGGGGGGAAGGGGTAGGTTTTCTTTTTTGGCTAAGAAGGCATTTTCTTAATCATAGGCCAGCGACGAAAAAAAAACATTCACACGAGCCGTAATTTTTTTACACATTTCTTTCGGACACTGCACAGTATAAGAAAAATTATGCTCTTCTACTTCTACTTCTTCTTTTTCTATTTTTTTTTTTTCAAAAATTCTTATAAGAATTTTTTTATTTTACTAACCCAATCGAACTCAAGCGATCAATCTATAACGATGACACAACGACAACTGACGCAATTCGACCAAGTTATGCGGGGCTAATGGTATCGTAAGATGATTTTTTTTCTTGTGTTTCTGCAAGCGGAATGTATATAGCTAAGAGATCAAATATATATATATATATATATATATACAAAAAAAAGAAAAAAAAATATATATATATACACTAATACCTTCCCACAGAATGGGGGAAAAAAATTCTCACTCTATAGTTGCGAAGCTATATAATGGTTTGTGGGATGTATATGTATGTATGTGTGTTTGATATATATAATTTAGCACAAATATGAAAAGTGAGAGAGAGCAATTTTTTCGTTTTTTTTTTTTTTTTTTGTTGTTGTTGCTTAGCAAAAACAAAAAAAAATAAAGAAAAGAAAAGCAGCCAACACTTGATGCTTTGCTGCGGAAAAAATGTGAAAGAATTTCTTTTTTTTTTTTTGCTAAAGCAAATAGATATTTTTAAATGTCCTTGAGCAAGTTGTATGCTGGTTGTCTTTAACCATAACAACAACAACAAAAGCAACACTATTGTTGTTGTTGTGTTCGGGTATTTTGATTGCTTAGATCATTTTTGTGTTGTGTGGTGTTGCTTTTTTCTTATTTTTTTTTCGGTTGCTGTCTGTTGGGGAAAACAATTTTTTTTGTGGTAGTGGTGGTGTGCAAAAACCTGAGGTGAGTTGAGGTGAATTATGATCTTCATGGCTATTTGAGGGCCAAAAATATTCAAATGTGTGTTTATGTTGTTGTTGCTGTGTGTTTTTTTTTTTATTTTTGGGACAAATTGTATAGTGGCGAAATATTTGAATATTCTTAGAATGTCGTCGGGTGGTTTTGTCGTTGTTGTTTTTATTTTGTGTTTTTGCAGAGGGAGCGTGAGACCTTAAATAGATTTTTTTCTTATATATGTATGTGTTTTGTGTCTGTCTATAAAAAAGTCGAATCAAATAACAAATAAACAAAATTTTTATTTATTATTACTTTTTCTATTTGATTTCTAATGTTAAAAATAAATATTGCATGATTTTGAAAGTTAAAAACATGTGATTCCCTAAAAGTAGGCAGTAAATAGTGAAAATAATCAAAATAAACGATTTTTACCAATAAAACAATAAGAAATCCAATATGAAAAGATTTTCAAAAACAAAAAAAATTAAACATTACAAATATATATTATTTTTATTAATATTATAATATTTAATTTAAATTGCAAAAAATTTAGAAGGAATCGATGAAAAAATTTCAAAAAAAAAATTGTAAAGACTTATAATTTAATTTTTTTAAAGGAAAAATTAATTAAAAATCCAAATATTGTTAAATCAACATCAAAATTTTTAAAAAGGAACATTTGTATTTATTATTATTATTTTTTTTAGTATAGGTTTCACAAAAAAAAAGTATATTGTTTATTTATTTTTTAATTTTTTTTTTAATTTGTGGAAAATTTGCCATTAATTTTTTTTTGCAAATTTTTAAATTTTTAAAAAAAAATATAAAAACTAAAATTCACTTAAAAAAAAAAAACTGGTCTTTGCATTATTAGATTTACTATATTTTTTTTACCCTTATATATGCAATTTACATTAAGAAAAAAAATGTGAAAAAAATCAAAAAAAGAAATTTAAAAAAAATCTTTTATTGTTAACTGACCGCTTTAATTTATATTATTTTTTAAAAAATTTTACAAATTGTTTGTCCAGCTCAATCAAAACTCAATAAAAATACAATTTGTTAATGGGATATTAAAATAAAAACAGCTGTTAAATCATATGATCATCCTAAAAGTATGCAACACACCGATATAAATATTTAAATGGTACTTTTTTGATAGCCTCGTTTAAAAAGAGCACCTAATTTTTTCAGTAAATTGGCCTAAATTTAAAATTAACTGCCAAAGATAGAAAAAATGTTTTTTTTAAGAAAAAACTGTTAAGTCTTATGGTCATCCTAAAAGTATGCAACTCAGCAACATCAGAATTGTCAGAATTATTTTTTAGTAATCATCTGTTATACGATTTACCATAATTTGTCGGTCTTAGAGTCGCTTTTTTATTTTAACAACAGCTATTAAATCATATGACCAACCTAAAAGTATGCCATACACACAAGTGAGAGAACTTTTATTCATAACTTAAATTTTTATACGAACCCCTAGATGAAGCTGTGTTAAGTAATATGATCAGGCCCTTAAAACTAGCAACACACATAGTTAAGGGCCGATTTTTGTAAAGGCGATCTGCCCAACTAATTAGAATAGCTGTTTTGATAATGATCGGTCAAAAGTAGGTTTAGAGCATCCGGCATTTTTTAACAATATGTGGATCTCTTTAGGGTTTTGAAGAATATTGAAAGGACATCAGAGATTTGTTGCGGATTTTTATACCCGTAGCCTGGTGGCTAATGCAAAAATGTGCCTCAACGAAATATCGGTTTAGACCCAATGCTGCTTGGGACCAAATCCGTTTCAAACAATTTGGAATCAATTAACAAATGTCTGTCTAACTGGGGGGGGGTGCGCATGATAGCTCACAATTTCATCCAAAATTTGCACATCGCAATATTTCTTCCAAAATTAAATCAAGTTCGAAGATCGGAAAAATCGGTCTACTCCTTCTGGTACCTAATCCACAAAATGGTCAAAATATTCTTGAAAATTAATTTTACAATATCATGCGTAAGGACAATACGATTGCAACCAATCTTTGTATTATCTTTAACAGGCCTAGACCAAGTTCGAAGATGGGACCCATTGGTCCACTCCTTCTCGAGCCTCCCCCACAAAGTGCTCAAAACTGTGCCAAAAATTAATTTTATAATATCAGGCGAACGGAATAACCGATTTCAAAAAGACTTTGCACTAATAGGTTGTGCAAGCCTAGATCAAGTCCAAAGGTGAGACCTTTCTGAACTCCCCCACAAAGGGTAAATATTTTATAAACTTGTAAATTTAATTTAAAGCTGATTTGAATAGCCGATTTGATCAACATTAAATCCGAAACATCTTCGATAAAAAATATAGCGTGTATTCCTCTGCAAACCATAGGTTGAGGGCAGCAACGTACAAAGGATTTCATTTCGGGGGTGGCCCGGCAGTACAAAATGAAAAAATTCGCTGTTGCAAACATAAATTTACTGTGAAAAAATTCATTACGGGGGGCCCGGCCCCCTGGGCTCCCCCCCCCCCTGCGTACGTTGAGGGTATATCTCTCGGCAATACCGACTGACACTTTTTTACTAGTTTAGACCATTTTCTCTCTATAAAAGCACTTGAAATTAAGGGACAACTTTAATCCTCCCCAACCATGCTTTTATCTGAAACCTAAACCTGAAATTGTAAGCCTCTCAAAAATGATATTCCTTATGAATTTTCTTTGATTTTTTATTATTAAAATTTCTCAGAAGAAATGATGGAAGGTCATCGTGTACATCTAGGTTTCCTTGTCACAAGATCTGATTTTTTTAATATATTTGTTTTAAAGAAAAATCACATATTTTATTTGTTATTCATCATTGGCTAATAAATAGGGGATGATTTTTTTAAAGAACTTATAAAAATTCCACTGTCGCTGTTGTATGTATTATAGCAGAAGATTTCTAAAATTCGTATGCATTTTTATTAAATTGTTGTTCATATGGACCGTCTTCAGTCCTGAAGGTGTAAGCATATAAATAATTGTTAACTAAACAGAAATTTGCATAGCATTTATAAATCTTGTTGAAAAAATATTAAATATTTTTCCCGATTTTCAGTCTATTCAGTATTTGATTGCCTTATTGTTTCTTTTATGTATTTTTTTTAATTTTGTTTTAAATTCATTCCGAATGACGGCAATTTTTCAATATTCACATTCACCATATTAATCACAAATTCAATTAAGTAGTCATGTAATCCATTTTTATAATCCATGATGTGTGTAAATAATTATTTTTGTTATATATACATATATATTATTAAATATATTTTAGAAAATATTTTTCTTCACCAGATTAATGATTATATAACTCAAGAAAATATTTTTTTAATTTTTTATAAGTTCTTTTAATTTTTTTATGTAAAGTTATTTTCTTGTATTTTCTTTGTCTTTTGTTCTTCATTGTAACAGTTTTTTGTTTACAAACACTTTCTTTCTTGTTTCTTTCTTCTTTTTTTTGTCACTAATTACTTTACAATAAAAATCGATTAAATATATTCCTTCTCGCGTTTCGTATACTTTGCAGTTCAGTTTTTTTAATTTATTTTTTGGTTATGAATTTTTTTCAGTTTCTTGTTCTTCTTCTTGTCATATATTTCTTTGTTCTTGTATTTTTTATATTATATATTTTTTGGTTCTTACTTTATTTACTCCCTAAATTATAGCGATCTATCCTCAACGAAGAATTTTTTCAAACTGATTTCTGTTAAATTTTTACGTTACCAAATTCACTCGCATTGGCAAGAAAACACACAAAATGTTTACCAGTGTTTGTGCGAAAAACAAAAAACCCACGCATACACACACACTCACACACACCCAACATACCTAGAGTTCCTTTGTAATGGGGAAAATAAGCTTTTCAATTTAGCAAACAATGAGGATCACCAAAACACACGCACACACACACAGAAAAACATACGCCAACTTGCTTGCCCAAAGAGCCACAATGATCTCAGTGGGAGAAATAAAGAGTTATTACACAAATGCCGACACACTCACATACACTAACATAGTTCGCCACACTCGTACTAAGGTAGTACGAATGACGTCATCGCATTGTTGGTTCTCTGCAGAGATCGTGAAAAAAGCTTTTTTTCTTTGCTAACCACACAGATGATCATATTTCTTGTATTGGTATTGGTGGTGGCCATTTTTCATTAACACCACAATCACCACAAACGAAAAAGAAAAAAAACAATGCAAAATAATTTACAATTTGTTTTCGTATAAACAAAAGTGAAACAAAAAGTTTTTTTTTAATTTTTTTCTGAAAAACAAGAAATGAAAATATTGTTTTGTTTATTCAGATCATTTGGACTATTTAAACCTGCCAGTAGTTAATCAAAATTTCATCGTTTTTTTCGAAAAATTAATATTAAAATGGTCCATTACTTGTCTCATTATTTTTTCGTTGTTTTGTCGCCTCGTGTTGATTGCTGTAATTTTGTTTTTTTTTAATATATTGTTGAAGTGGAAGAAGGAAGGGACCTACAATATTTTTATCTGAGACAAAATAGATCATATAACCCGATATTTTGGTTAAAGAATAAAGAAGTTTCATCAATAAATTTATATCGCAACATATATCGAAACTAAAGGACAACAAGGGAAAGACGAATGCCTGCCCAGGGTATATGAAAGTTTGTCGAAATTGGTCAAACGTAGGGCCTTTGGTGTACAATCGGACCAAAGTTACATATTGGCGTATTAACTAAATCTTAACTTATTTCCATATACGTCATTCTAGATTAATACTTTGCTATGCAAAATCTCATCTAAGTCGGACAGACAAAGTGTGTTTTGTGCAAAATTTACGTGTAATCGGATGAATGTATATATAAGACCTATATCTAAATCTGAAAGAAAGTCGATACATGCCATTCAAGTCTCAGATCGATAGCCCTTGTACAATTTTGTGACAATAACAATAACAAATTACACACCTTATTCCAGACTCCATTCGATATGCTATACACAATTTCGCATAAATCTAACAAACAATTAAATTTTTTCCAAACATTTTTTTAAATCTATTAAATAATCACATTTATATCTTTGAAGAAATATATATATATACAATGTATAAATTTTTTCTTTGAAAAAATATTTTCTTAGGGGAAAAGATCCATGTACCCTACACAACTATGCTGTCTGCCTATAGCTTTGTGCAGCCACAAGAGTTTGTAACGCCACGAAATATTGGTCCTAAATCCACCTTAAAGTATACCGTCCGTCCATCCGTCTGTCCATTATACTTTGTGAACACGATACAGAGCACAGTTATGGACCAATCTTCACGAAATGTTGCATGTAGGATGGGTTCTGCCCAATGAAGACCCCTATTATTATAGGTAAAGATCGATTAATATATAGAGGATGAAATGGACCAAGTATTTAATTTTTGTCGGTTTTTCTGGTCGCTCCAGAGGCCGCAATTATGGCCCAAACATTGTGAAATTTTGCATGGTGAAGGGGATCGGGCCAAAGAATAAGCATAAAGATCGGCCAATATTTAGCTAGTCAAATGTGTGTAAAATGATAAAATTTGTATTTTATAGTGTATATATTTACCCCTGAAGGACATAGACCCGACAAGTTGATAATATATCCAAGAGGAGTGGTTGACATTTAAATTAATAATTTATATATTGTTTTATGTACTCGGATGTGGGAGTTACACTTAAATATTTATAGGTGCTTACGAATTCATATATTATTTAGTAACCCATTACCACACTAGAGGGAGGAAATATAGCACGGGTTGCTTTGAAATTGTCCATGAGGATTCGGGTATGGTCAAGGACAACGACTATAATTTTCAGTGATGATCAGATAATAATATTGAAATGAAGTGGACCGAAAACTTAATTTTGTATGTTTTTTCGAGTCGATCTATAGGCCACAATTGAAAGCCGAACATCACAACACAACCCACGGTGAAAGGAATCTGGACAAGTAATTAGAAGAGCTGTACTGAATATAAGTAATATTTGTTATCCTCTAGTGGGTCAAGAGGGTACAAATATCGCGAAATATTGCCCATGCTCAGAATGTTGTACAACAGAAAGGTAGATATTCGTTGAAGCGGATCATATGGTCGGCCCGTCCGACTATACTGCTCCGCTTACTGGTTATAAAATCATTACTTCGTCATTCAATTTTTTTTTATTTTTTACAAAATAAAAAAAATACGTACGTAATTAAACGTAAGCCAATATTTGAAATATTTGAAAAAAAAATGTTCACAAAAGCCCCAATATACCGAAGTTACCTGAAGGAGTGGGCCAATGTGTCCCATCTTCAATCTTGATCTAGGTTTGGCAAATATAATGGGTTGTACAAAGTGGTACAGGGTATTATGTCTTTGTGCATATGTTTGTAACAGGCAAAAATAATCGAGATAGACCCATGGTTCCTTTTGAGAATATGCATAGAATCACTTTCTGAATCGATTTATGCATGTCCGTCCGTCCGTCCGTCTTTCCGTCTGTCCATGTTAAATTGTAAACAAAGTACAGGTCGCATTTATGATCCGATTTGGATGAAATTTGGCACAGCTCATTTGTTTGGCCCAAGGACGAACCCTATTGAAATTGGGAAAAATCGGTTCAGACTTAGATATAGCTTCCATATATATTTTTGCCCGATTTACGGACTTTAGACCCTGGAAATTATTCGATTTGCACGAAATTTGGCATAGCGTACTGAATTGAGCCACGAAAGATGTGTGCCTAGTTTCGTGAAAATCGGTTCAGATTTATATATAGCTCCCATATATAGTTTCGCCCGATTTACGGACTTTAGACCCTGAAAATCTTTCGATTTGCACGAAATTTGGCATAGCGTACTGAATTGAGCCACGAAAGATGTGTGCCAAGTTTCGTGAAAATCGGTTCAGATTTAGATATAGCTCCCATATATAGTTTCGGCCGATTTTTGGTAAATGGCGTACCAAAGTCCCTATATATCTTTCGATTTGCACGAAATTTGGCATAGCGCACTGAATTAAGTCTAGAATGATGTGTGCAAAGTTTCGTGAAAATCGGTTCAGATTTAGATATAGCTCCCGTATATATCTTCCTCCGATTTAAGGTAAATGGTGTACCAAAGTCCTTATATATCTTTCGATTTGCATGAAATTTGGCATAACGTACTGAATTGAGGCTAGAATGATGTCTGCCCAGTTTCGCGAAAATCGGTCCAGATATAGATATAGCTCCCATATATAGTTTCGACCGATTTCATGTTAATGGTGCCCCAAAATCCCTATATATCTTTCGATTTGCAGGAAATTTGGCATAACGTACTGAATTGAGCCTAGAATGATGTCTGCCCAGTTTCGAGAAAATCGGCCCAGATTCAGATATAGTTTCGTCCGATTTCATGTAAATGGTGCACCAAAGTCCCTATATATCCTTCGATATATTTGGATAGAGCTTCCATATATATTTTCGCCCGATTTTAAGTAAATTGGACATCAAACTCTTCATGCTAGTCAGGTTGACATCAAATTTTGCACAACGTACAAAATTGAGCATAGAATTACGTAGTTGCGTTTTCTAGAAGTACAGACATAGCCCAACAGATAACCTATTTATATTTGATTGAAGTCGATTTATATAACTTATGGATATATAGGTAGATTCACATTTAGATAAATATCACATATTTTATTTCATCCAATTTCATGTTAATAGTCCTGTTTAATATATCCATAGTGGTGAAGGCTATTATATAGTCGGCCCTGTCCGACTTTACTACTTTCCTTACTGTTTTTTTCTCTATAAAAAAAATATATTAATATGAATTAATTTAAATCTAAAAAAATATTTCACTATTATGATTTTAATAGATATATACTTGATGGGACCTTCAAACAAATATTTCAAAATTTTATCAACTAAATAAAATGGTAGTTAATTTTATAATTTACATAATATATTTTTATTTTCTGGATACTAAAAAAATATTTTTTAATTATTTTCAATTACGTTGTTGCAAAAATTATGACCTCTAAATGCGAATATTCCATTTGCCCTCCTCCAACAAAAAAGTAATAATTAAAATAAATTAATCTACAAAAATTATCTACCATAATTTAAACAATAAAGCAATTTGTTTGTTTATAACCAAAATAAAAAAATAATTATAATGCAAAATAATGTTTATAGTTTCCTCAAAAAAAAAAATACAATTATACGTTAAATTTCATGGCAGTCATGTGTGGCGGTGGTATCGTAAATTAAACAAAAAATACCAAAAAAATATATTAAAGGAAGAGCAAATTTCAAAATGTTTAATGACCATTTCTTTTGAGTTCAAGGACTATGGTGACGGCCAATAAAAAAAAAATAAAAATAGAAATTAAGACAAATAAATGTAAACGTGTATATATGAAAAAAATAATAATAATTAAAAAATTTAAATAATGTATAATAATGATATATATTAATACTTTAAATCATCACAGAGGGTAAACAATTATTTACAATCTGGGAATTAGTAATCTACTTTAAATTTTTCTTCATATATATGATAAATTAAAAATTGAATGTAAAATATGTATTCCTTACTTGAATTTTATTCAATTTTTTTTTTTTGGTCACCACACAAATCTTGATGATGTTCAATTGTAATATACATACATAAATATATTCATTTTCAAAATTTTCTGTTTTCAATCATCTGAATATTTTTATTTTGTTTGATCATTTTCATATGTGGGCCGTGTAGCTGTTGTTGTTATTGTGT